CTGTGAAAGCCTGAGAGAATGTTTTCTCTCCATGTGACTCTCCTTAGGCACACTCTACATCATCAATCACTTTCCTCTTTGACCCCATAATCTCCTCCTAGCACTCTTAATTGTAGCATTGCACCATGAATCAATCACACACTCTAGATCTAGCCATCTCTAAAAAAGCTTCACCTATGGCTAGCTGCATGAGGCTTGGGGGAACAATTAGACACAAGCCATTATAGTGTACTATACCTTATTTAAGCAGTAATGCAATTTTTGTTGATTGTAGTATACAGTACAGTAGTTTTATATTCAGTTATACATTATAGTACTGCATTTAAGAGTTATGAAAATAAATGCAAAGTTATCAAGATGGGCTTTTCTTTGACCATTTCTTTGTTCTGAGTATTGTAAATTATATATAATATGTAGCTCTTCACTTAGCAACCAGTTCATTTAACCTACAGAGCCACAGGAATGGAACAAAGGTTTTTTTTTTTTTTTTACTCTTCACTGGTTTATTTAATTAAAAAAATTGAAGATCCCCCATTTTTAAAAGGCCCTTTTACATAAAGTAGAGCTTCTAAGTGACAGCTTGGGAAATCAGTCTGAACTGGACACACTATGGATGTGACACACAGATGAAACTTCCTCACACCACTACCATGACATGGATTGGATAGTCTCCCTCAAAATAATCCTATAAAAAATTGCTTCAAAGCCCCTTTGAAATTGCAATAGTGCAGCAGAACCACAAGTAAACAATTGCCTGTTAACTTGTTATTTCAAATAGACTGAAAAACCAACAGGCAGATTTTTTGTGTGCAATTTTTCAGAACAAATCTTAAGTTGAAATATCAAATCTGCACAGCACTGTCCCTTCACAGAAGGCAAGAAACTTGTGGTGCATCATGTCAGAGGCCGTCCTCAGTGCTGCAGGCTGTGAAAGTGGGCCTCCTTCAGCGTCTGGTTGATGTAGAAATAAGGGCCGTGGCACAGTGCAGCCCGCTCAGACATGGCTGAGGGGTGTTGGGACTGGATCCGGGGATGACCTGGCCTAAGCTGCTCTCTGGCCCACTGGCCCGGTCTGGACTGTGGATGCTGGTGTTGCTGGTACTGCTCCTGCCACTGTCACTGCTCGAAGACTCAGTGTCCCAGGAATCCTGAAAGACAGGGTTTCTACTACTCCTTTTGTTCTGTGGAGGGAGATGGTTATCTTCTTCATTGCCATTCCTTCTCCTTTTCCTGGGGCAAAGGCGCTCGCTCATCGCTTTTGGTGGAGAGCGACGAGGACCCGCCCCGCGCGAAGAGCAAAACGAGGGGCCTGTGGAACAAGGTTTTAAATGAGAAATGTCCATATAATTCTCATCTCTTTCACCCATTTTTAAGATCACTATGTTAATCAACTATCTGTTACTGTAATAAAATACCTGAGATGACGAATTTAATAAAAAGGAAAAGTTTATTTCTACTCACAGTTTAAAGATTTCATTCTATGACTAATTGGACCCATTACTTTGGCAGCATGATACACAATGGTGGGAGCACATGGCAAAGAAAGACCATTCACTTCATGGCCAGAACGAAAAGGAGAGAGAACAGACTGAGACTCCCCCCCCCCAGTCTCCTTTGGGAACAGCCCTAAGTGACCTCAGGAAGAGGTCTTAATGTTTCTACTACCTTCCATGGGCTAGGGACAAACTTTTAACACGTGGGCCTTTGGGGAACATTTAAAATCCATATGATAACACAAACTCACTGCCAATGTATGATTTTTTTATTTAAAATGTGTTCATTTATAATGTTTTTACTCTGAAAATTTTGGTTCCTCTTATAATATTGATTTAACTTGCGTACTTAATAGTTTCAGAATAACAGTAAATTTTAATACTACAAATGAGATTACTGTAATTTTAAGATTTCCTTTCATCTTTTTGTCCTTAGACCATATTCTACTGAGGGTACACAGTGAAAATATTGCCCTGTAAACTTGGTTAGAATAATTTTTTTTCTCTATGTGGTCATGTCATGAACTTTTTCTTTTCAGTACTGGGGATGGAACTCAGGACCTTGCACTTGCCAGGCAGGTGCTCATGCTGCTGAGCTATCCCTCAGCCCCTTCATGAGCTTGATATACAGTCAGACTCATTTGATTTAGTTTGTCTTTAAGTTTTAGTAACTGCTTTGGCTTTTCTTCCATACTTAAGTTTGTTGTTTTTAGCCACTGACATGATATCCAACTTCAAAATTATATGAAAAATATACAGAGAAGCTTCACGTACATCCATTCCTATCCCTTCCACCTGGACCCCTCTTTCCTCCAACAGAAAAACATTTTTCTTAGGCTTTCTGCCTCAATGTTTATCTTTTTTACATTAAGTCAAACATTCTAAATACAGTAAAACCTTGGTTTGTGAGAATAATTTATTCCACTTATAATCCAAAATGTATATATCAAGGGGGGGAGGGAGAAAGAGAGAGAAATCAGTTGTGATTGTGAGATATCCCACAGAGCAGGTTGCTTATAATCGGAGTTTGGCCTGTGGATCCAAGTGTAGGAGTGTTGCCAGTCAGCCTAGGGTTCTTCTTGCTCGATTCAAGAATCAGGAAAGCGCAGCTTTGCTAGCAGTCCTGATGTTACCAGGTAATGCTCAATGCCAATGCTAGGCAGACAGCTGCTGGTCCGGGCCACTGCCAGCTGTCACAGTCTGATGCCAGCTTATACTGGACAACATTCATCACTGTCTGATACCTGCTTGTGCTGGACACTGAAGGTCAGTCCTACCAGATGCTGTGTCTCTGCTGCTGGCCTTTGTTGGCTGCTGTCTCTGGAGCTCTTTGATGTTTATTCATCTTCCTTTGGAAGATTAAAATCCAGGTGGATTTATATAAGACGTTTGGAGCACATACTACCTGAAAATTAAATCACAAGCAGGTTTACATGAACACCAAATGAAGTCTTCACTGTAACAGGGCCTGGGCTACAGCACAGAGAAACTAGTATACAGGAAGGAGACCTAGACTAAAACTGGAGATAGGCCTGGGCAGTGCGACTATTTTAAGAGCTTGTAGACCTTATTCAGTGAGGGTGAAGTCTATAACCAGGGAATCTTCTGAAAGGTTTGCTGTGAATGTTGGGTATGCAAATAAGGGGCCCAGATCTCTTCCTCCCTGGTCTTAGCCTCTCCAGGGTGCCCTGTCCTTCTCAAAAATGCAGCAGTATCGTCTGAAGGGGAGAATGGACTGCAGCCATGTTGGAGTGGAAAATGGTGGATTGATAGTCAGGAAAAACCCTGAAGCAAGTCCTTCAGGGAAAAAAGAGGAGCAAAGGGCAGCCTGGAGGAGGGGCAGGCAGCCACTAACTAGGCCACAAAACTCCAGCCTGCAGGGGAATAATGACTCAGGTGCTTCCCTTCTGTCTCAGGTGTAGGCTCTCTAACAGTTTTTTCTGTATGCCTGTCTTTAGAATTGTTCCCCTGCAATTTGTTCATCTCTTGCTTTGTTTAATATCCTCTGATTATTACCTGCCTCCTCCATAGAGCTTGCCAAGAGCAAGAAAACATATCTAGTTACCTTCTTACCCAATGCCTATCATAATCTATACACTGTGCTACTGAAAAACTTGTATTTTAATCTGTACTCTGTGGCTAAGTGTATACCGTAGTTGTCTGCTATATATTCTGCCATTTCTGCATTTGCTGTCTGTATTAAACTACAAACTTTCAGTTATTTTGGTGCCCAACCTTTTCTCATTCTTGTGTATTGCCCTGTGGCACATGACTACCTTCAACTTTTTTAATGTTCATTCACCTTGGTACAGCACTTAATCATTTTATGTTGTTTTTGGTATCTTGTTTAATGAATTTGAGGGCTGGGGAGATAGCCCAGTGCCACAAGCACCTGCTTGGTAAGTGCAGAGTCCTGAGTTCAACTCCCAGTACCCAACAACAAAAAAAAACACTTTTGTAACTATGTTTAATGAATTTATGTCTTGTTTTCCAAGAAATTTGTAGTTCCTTGAAAGTTAGGACTTCCCCATCACTACTTGAAATAAAAAGCAAATCTATTAGGAATATAGTGTTGCTGAATACGTGCTAATTGAATTAAAGGGCATATTTTGCTTTTCTAATTAAGGTCCTTGCTTACCAACAATTTGACACTAGTAGCACCAGTGCTGCATTTCATTCCAAGTTTACTAAAGATGTAATCATGAGTCTTAACCCCAAAATTTAAGTTATAGGAGTTTAAAAATATTCAAATTAATTTATTCTTGGATTTTTATAGAAGAATAAAACCTAGAAATCTTTCTATTCATAGGATTAAAAAAAAAAAACAACCCTGGGGCCGGGGAGATAGCTCAGTAGAGTAAGCACTTGCCTCCCAAGATCAGGGTCCTGAGTTCAATCCCCAGTACTGAAAAAAAAAAAAAAAACCCTTCATCACTGTTTAGAGAATGTAGCTGGAAGACGCACTCAAGGAAAATATATTCAGGAGGGTACTACTTTGGTGCTTGGCCTCAGTTCCTATTTGGCTTAGCTCCACTGTTCGTGGCACAGAACTTCGCTGGTGAGTAAGAGAATGGGAAGCAAATCTGGCTGCCTGGCAAAACCTACTTAGGTTGACTCGGATTGCTTTTGATCTTATTTGCTATTATGTGGACTATTCTTTGTGTTGGTAAATGAATGGAGATTCTTGGATTTTTATAGAAGAATAAAACCTAGGAAAGCCAGACTATTTACAACACTATTTGAAAATGTGTCCTATAATAAGTCTGAAGCTACTTTTCATGGGATGGGATTCTGTGTTAATTTGCTTCATGATTAGTGTAGGAAGAAGTAGCTGAGGTAATGTGTCCCATCTGTCTATGTCCCTCTTCCTTTTTTCTTACCACCAAAGATGATGCTGGAGATTCTTCAGGGGAGAATACAAAAATTAACTTTAGAATATATTTGTATTTTAAAAAAAGAATATATTTGCATTCATACTAAGAAAATACTTTTTGGATTTACTTATAGGTCCTGTGATTGCCTTGGAGTTTAATGGAGATGGTGCTGTAGAAGAGTGTCGACTTATTATAAATAAGACATTCAATGGGACCAAGGTATAAGACTTGACTGACTATATCCCAGTCTGACCTATTTCATTTCCTTTTCCTTACAATTAAATAGTACTTTTATCTCTCTTTGAACCCAGCACATAGATTTTTAGAACTTATCATAAATAATTTGGTACTAAGCTTTGGATCTTCTTTGCTAAACTAAAACTTTAATTGCTTAAAATAATAAGAATTTACTCACTTTTAATGAAACAATTTTTAAAGTAAAAAGTCAAGCCCTTGCATTCTTAAAAATAGTGCTATATTCTCTAGAAAGACAATCCTGTTGCCTGGGGTTCATTTTTATTTGTTTCAGTAATTTATCACCAAACACTAAATTTGAGGTAGAGGGCTGGAGAGATAGCTAAGTTGAATAAGTGTTTGCCTGGCAAGCGCAAGGGCCTGAGTTCAATCCCTGGCTCCGGAAAAGAAAAAAGAAAAAGAAAATTTTAGGTAGATCTTGAAATTACATTTATGGAGGTATTCTCTAAATATGTTGTTGAAGTTACTTTATCTATGAATTTCAGACTTAAATAGATTAATATAATTTAAAAACTAAACATAAAAGAGGATTAAATGGATAAATATATAATTGATTTTTTAATAACAGGAAATTTTTGGTTTTTCCTCTTTTTTTTTGGATTTTAGAGAAGGGTCTATAGGTGTTCAGGATCTCACTACTAGATCAGATTGATAGTGATCCGCCTGTTTACAGCCTCCCAAGAGCTGGGATTACAGGTGCGTGCCACCACGCCCAGTCTCAATGGCCATCTCAGCATGCCCTGGGGGTGGGGCCAGCAGGGCAGGCCCAGTGATTGAACCCCCAGCCCCTGCGCCTGCTTGCAGGCACTTTAATCCACTGAGCTATTTGGCCAGCCCTGTCCTCTTGATTTGTATTGAATTTTCAAAATTTGAAGTACTTTATTTTGTCTTATTTTATCATCATAATAGTACTAAGGAAAAGGGAAAATATCAGATTTAATAGAAAAAGAAACTGAGGGCCGGGGAGATGGCTCAGTATAATAAGCGCTTGCCTGGCAAGTGCAAGGGCCTGAGTTCAATCCCCCATTCCACCAAAAAAAAAAAAAAAAAAAAAAAAAGGAACTGAGGGTGAAATGATTATTATTCAGACTTTTTAGACTTAAATTGTTAAGATGTTCACTAATTTAACTTTCTCATTATACAAGTGTGGAAACTGACTGCAGGAAAGTTTATTAAATTACCAGCACTGTGCAGCTAGTTTATGATAAAGCTAGATTAAAACCCATGTCTCGGGCCAGGGAGATGGCTCAGTAGGATAAGCGCTTGACCGGCAAACGCAAGGATCTGAGTTCAATCCCTGGTTCCGCCAAAAAAAAAAAAAAAATAAAACCCATGTCTCCTCCATTTCCCTGGCTGACATTTGTAAAGCTACTCTTGAAGGAGTTCTACTGAAGAGTTGTAGTGATGTTCAGAAAATAGTTCATTTAAAATTACTAAAATAGGGGCCAGGGAGATGGCTCAGTGGAATAAGCACTTCCCTGGCAAGCGCAAGGGCCTGAGTTCAATCCCCGGTTCCAAAAAAACAAACAACAACAACTAAAAAAATAATAAATAAATAAATAAATAAAATTACTTAAATATACTGGGAGTTGTGACACACACCTATAGTCTCAGCTACTTGGGATGCTGAGGCAGGAAAATCACTTGAGCCTAGGAGTTCAATGTTAGCCTGTGCAATACCTTATTTCAATGAAAGGAAATATAGCACAATGTTACAGCATTTGCCTGTCATGAGCTAGACCCTGTGTTCAATCCCAAGCACTACAAAAATAAATGAATAAAATAAAATTAGTACTATATCTTTAGCAGCTTTGAAAAGCATATTGTATTTTGCTTCTCAACCTACTGAGGTTTTTATTAGAAAATAGAAGAAACTAATAGTTCTTTAAATAAATATTACTCCTAGCTTTCATAATATTGAATGTTGTACAGTAAACACTAAAATTGCAGGTGTCATAAAATATAACTGAAGTCTTATAAAAGGAAAGACATTAATTATATCCAAGTGATTTTAAAAGAGTTTAATTTACATTAGCACTATTGAAACCACATTGCGCTCATGCCATGGAAAATCTATGAATACTATAAATGATGTGCTTTAATTTCTTTTAGATAAGCTTGTGACTTTAATCTGTGGTGACATGGGCTTTGGCATTTGGGGGTCATAGTATTTATTTTTTATTTATTTTACATTTAAAATAGATGTTTGTATCAGAGAACAAGGAGACAGCATCTGAAGATGTAGACAACTTCTACAACTTTGTTGATATACACATGGGAATGTGAAGAGCAATGTGGAACCAAGGATTTGGTATCAAGCCCTTTCCAACTTTCGTGTATAAAGTTTAATAATACGCTTTTGTGTACCAGCAGTGAATTTTATTAATGCTGAAATTAAGTGTTTTTAATAACTCATTGAATACTGCATCATTTTAATAACTCATTGAATACTGCAACTATCAAAATAGTTCAATTAAATAGTTTAAATTTTCTTCAAAAACTATTCAGCCCACTTCAATAAGCTTAGTTTTCTTTCTTTGCTTATGATAACACTTTTAGAAAATGGAAGTGACTAACAGTTCATGATTTTAATCTTAATTAAATGTTTATTCAAATATCTAATAATTTAAACTTTTCAACTTTCCTCAGTGCTTTATGATATTCGTGTAAGAATACATTTCATGGCTTATTTTACCTTTTTTAATGTATAGGGATTTGTTACTCTTTGATCAATTAGGATGAACCTATGCACATTTTTTCATGTATATATAGTTAAATAATTTCCTCCTAGTTGCATTAAATAACTAATGAAATTTTGTACATGAGTTGACATACTACTTTTTAAATTGAATTTTTTTAAAAAATAAGTGGTCCATGACTATAGCCCTAGCTACTTAAATGGTTCAAGCAGAAAGATCACTTGAGCCTAGGACTGAGGCCAGCCTGGGAAACAAAACTAAAGCAAAGAACAAAAAGTAAAGAAATAGACATTTGATAACTAGCTTTGCAAATAACTCTTGCAACAGTATATAGCATTGTAAGACTACTTAATAAGTAGTATGACCATTTGAATGAATTACACATTTTAAAAATATAATTGTTAGACATCTCTTCTGCTTCTGATAAGAAAAGGTATATGCAATGGGAAAACTGTAGAAGCCTAACTACCATCAGTTTTTATAAGGGTGATTACTGTTTGATCAGCTATCTTCACGGCTATCGAGAGATTTAGAATAAAAGTTTGTTACCTTTAGGTAAGAAATAGGCATGATAAGCTATGCAGATTATTGAAAATTTTGGTGTGTATATATCAAATAATGTAAGTATGATAAAATTATTTTGGTTGCTTTCAAAGCAATATTTCTCAAATCTACTTGATCGTAGTAATTTGCCAGGAGGCAAGGTTGGACTGTTTGTTCAAAAGTCTACATTCTTAGACCCAATCCTCAGATGCAGAGTTAGTCTTTAAATGAAACTCTTTTAAAGGGTATGTTATAATCAGTTCAAAAGGTGTTGGTATGTTGATCATGTGTGTGCTGAACCTGCCATCCACAAAACATGCAGCTAATAGGAAAACATCTTTCACAAGCCTATATTTTTATTTATTTATTTTTCAGTATAGGGAACAAACCCAGGGCCTCACACATGCTAGATAAGCGCTCTACCACTAAGCTATACACCCAGCCCTGTAGGCCTACTTTTTAAAAAGGTGTATTTTAAAATCTGAAATTTATTTCTGTTTTTGTAAAATTCAGACCAAAAAATTACAAAACTTCTTTTTATGATTGTTACTAAAAATACATTGTCATATCTAACACATTGTGGGTATTTTCAGATTAACTGCTCCATTTAATTGCATGTTAAGATGTAAAAATAATACATTAGAAAACTCTTCACTTTAAATTAGTAATAATGAGCAACCATACTGTGCCTAGCTCTGTGCTAACCATTAGCACTGTACCATTTCATTTTTTTTTTCATATTTGGTACAGGGTCTCACTATGCTGCTCTGACTCGTAGTGATCCTCCTGTTTTCAGCCTCCCCAGTGATGAGATTATAGGCGTGTGCCACCAAGCCCAGTCTTGGTGGCCAATTCAGCACACCCAGGGGTGGATCCAGCACAGCATGTGGTGCAGGGGATTGAACCCCGGTTTTTGCGCTTGCCTAAGCAGGTACTTAGTCTGCTGAGCTATCTCACTGGCCCTTCATTTCATCCTTTTTTTTTTTTTTTTTTTATGGAA